TTTTGATAAAGATCGGAGGAGGCCGTGGTTCTCTAGGTATCGGTGCAGAATCCATCTCATCTCTGTCATTTTGAAGCACCTGGTATGGATTGGGTGTAAAAAATGGAGATTCAGAGACCATTTGTTGTGAAGAGGTACCTGCTTGCGGTTGTGGTGTGGAATCTTGAATTTTCGCTGGAGGAGTTCCGGGGGGGGGGGGTGGCGATCGCTTACTGCGACGAGTTTTTCGTTTAGGTGGTGAGTTACGAGGGGTGGAGCCAGCAGAACAAGACCTCTTAGCGGACATCACTTGATGAAAATATCGCATCTAAAAAAAAAAAAAAATAAAAATAAAAAAATAAGGAAAATAAAACTTCGTCTGCGTGTCCTTGAACTCGGAGAAACGACGAGCACAGCTCCGTCCGTCTTCATTCGTGGCAGAGCCACGACTGCTAGTGGGCAGTATCTGACGTAGCTATGACAGATAAGGCTAGCGATAAAGCACCTCGGACACTGGTTTCACTGTCTATAGAATACACTGTAAATATCAACACTACTCACTGTTGTATTAGTCCATTGTTGTTGCTGGTGTGTTGATCTCGGCGTTAATAGTTTTTGAGTAAATAGAGTAAACTTTTTCTCAAAGAGAAACTTTTTAAACTTGAACTTTTTAAAAGAGAAACTGTGAGAGACGATGTAAAAACGTGGCAATCAAATCAAGCGCACGCGCAGAACTGATAATACAATAAAGAGTTAAAACAGAGAAAAGGAATGAAAGGAAGGAGGAAAAAAAGAGAAGACTGAAATAAGAAAGAAAAACAAACCCCCTCCAAAAGCTGACTGCAATAGAGTGAAGAGATAGTAGCAAGGGAGGGGAGCGATGTATGGTTCCGTCATATCTGACCGTTAACTGACAAAGTATGAACTATTAATGAACTATAAAGTATAAACCGTTAATGAACTAAAGTACCGGAAGCGTAAAAAATGGACGAGAGATATATTACTCATAAATATTATGAATAATTAAACGAAAGTGTAATAGAAAGAGAATGGAAATAATCTGGAAAAGGAATAAAACAGAGATAATAAATGTTAAGTAATAACGGAGAAAAATTGAAATTAATACATATCATATATATATATATATATATATATATATATATATATATATATGATAGGGGTCGGGGTAGCCGTACGGGCTAAGGCGCTTGCAATAGGTAATCAAAGTTAAGCAACGTCGAGCGTAAAGTCAGTACTTGGATGGGTGACCGCCTGATTTAGGTGAACGCCCACCACTGAAAGACACGCTGCCCGAGATTCTCTCCCCCTCCTCGGGTATGTGAGACCCGTCAGCCTACTGGTAGCAACTCACGCCGCAGGGAGCTCCTGGTCCTCCAGGTTGGGTGTTGGGCATAGGGCTAATGACCCAATCCCGTCAAATGAGGTGAAGGACGATTTCTACGATCAGTTAGAAAAGGTTGTGGACCAGGCTCCAAAACATAACATAAAATTAGTCATGGGAGACTTCAATGCCAAGATAGGTCGAGAACCCTTTAAGCCCATCATCAGAGGTCAAAGTTTCCACGAAACTAGCAATGACAATGGAGTGAGATGCATTAGTCTGGCAGCAGCTAAAGGTCTAGTAGTAAGCAGTACGATGTTCCTGCACAAGGACATACATAAGTATACCTGGGTAAGTCCTAAAGGAGCAGAAAGCCAAATCGACCATGTGCTGATAGACAAGAGGCATCAAAGCTCCATACAAGGTATAAGGAGTTATCGTGGAGCAGACTGTGATTCGGACCATACTCTGATTAGAATCAAACTCTGTCAGAGCCTGAAGCGAATCCACTGAATTGGGAACCAAGTGGAAAGAAAGAGGTACGAAGTCCGTTATTTGAAAAACCCTATAGTACAAGCTGAATTTCTAATTGAGCTGAAAAATAAATTCGAACCCTTGAACTCTGAAGGTCTCACGGTGGACCAACACTGGGAGGCGCTAGATTCAGGATTAAAACAAACAGCTGAGGAAGTAATAGGGATTCAGGAAAAAAGAAAAGCCAAGAAATGGTTCACAGAAGCATGCGAAAAGGCAGTGGAGGAAAGAAGAAAAGTCCTCTGCTTACAAACTGATGAAGCTATGCTGGACAAATACACGGCTGCCAGGAAAAAGACAAACAAAATAATAAGAACAGCCAAAAGAGAATTCCTCAAAGAAACATTACAAACTATTGAGGAAAACTGGCAGGCTGGAAATATATGCGAATTCTTCGCAGATATCAGGAAGGAAAGGGTAGGATATAAAGCGAGAAATACACAAATGCGAGGGAAAGATGGCAAATTGACGACTGCTTAATCAAGGGCACCCCACAAACGAAGAAGACATGGGCCACACTAAGTACATCGACCCTCTCGAGGTTGAAAAACCAGATATTCTGGATGTGGAAATAGCTATCGGCAGACTTAAAAGAAGAAAGGCTCCAGGAATAGACAACCTACCATCAGAATTGTTCAAGGATGAGGGAGAAGAACTCAGAGCCAAGCTGTTAGATCTAATCCAGAAGATATGGGAGAAGCAACGGATACCAGAAGTATGGAACACAGGGTTGATCTGTCCTATCCTTAAGAAGGGCTCCATGTATGAATGTGGCAATTACAGAGGCATAGCACTTCTTCCGGTCGCATATAAAATAATTACTAATATACTGATAAATCGGATATATCCGTATTATGAAAACATAATAGGCGACCATCAAACAGGATTCAGGAGAGGGAGGAGTACGCTAGATCAGATATTCATCCTAAAACAAGTACTTGAAAAACGATGGGAAGTAGATCAGGACGTACACGCATTATTTATCGACTTTAAATCAGCCTATGACTCCGTTGACAGAAACTGTCTCTGAAAGATCATGACTGAGCTGAGCTGAGGTGGGAGCACGAGAGAAAGTAATAAAAATAACATCACGCGAAGAGGGAGCGGTACACGTTTGAATGAAACATAAAATCCTAGCATATGCCGATGATATAGCTGTCCTAGGAAATAATCAAGAGAATATTGAGTTACTCGCTCGGAATCTATTTAAAGAAGCAGAGCAAATCGGACTACAGGTCAATGTAGATAAAAGGAAATACATGATAGTTAGCCGAAACATCCACTCTAATAACATTATCTGCGTGGACTCTAATTCCCGAAAGTTGACAGATTAAATTCCTCGGCTCCACAATAACCTCAATAAATGATCAACTAACAGAGATAGACCAGCGAATAACAAATGCGAACAGATCTTTCTTTTTTCTGTCAAAGGTAGCGAAATCCAGAAAAATCTGCAGAAATCTCAAAATAAGGGTGTGCACCGCCGTGATTAAGCCAGTTCTGCTGTACGGTTGGGAAACCTGGTATCTAACCGGCACACTAGAATCCAGAATTGAGAGATTTGAAAGAAAAGTTCTACGTAGGATAACAGGACCTATATGGGACCAGAACCTTGAAACATGGTGGAGAAGGAACAATAAAGAACTGCTGAAAGAAACGGGTCAGCCAATATCTCATGACATGAAGGCAAGGAGGTTAAGATGGGCAGGGCATGTAGTTCGTAGCTATCCATCCGACACCCCACTACACTACAATGAATGCCAGAGTAGTAGGCAAGAGACCACGTGGAAGGCCAAAAACCAGATGGATAGATACGATAAACAAAGATACGGATGAGCTTCATGCTGCAAACTGGAAAGCAGTAGCCCAAGATAGGCAGAGGTGGAGAAAGCTGGTTCAAGCGGCCAAAGATCTACAAGGTCTGTAGAGCCAACCGAAAAAAAAAAAAAATAAAAAAAAAAAATATATATATATATATATATATATATATGTATATAAAATAAATTAAGGAAGTTGTCAGCGAAAAGGAATAGGATATTTACTTTATCATTCCACACTTTGTAACGGTTATTATTATTTATCTCTTAGTCCTTACTATTGTCATTATTCTACCCACTTCATTTTACTTAATTTTAATTTTTTTTTTTTTACGTACATTATTAATTTTTCTCATACCTTGTTATCTGGCTCTTTTCTTATTCCTGATGAAGGCCTGAACTTCAGGTCGAAACGTCGGCAAATGTTAAAATAAACATTATTATTTATTTTGCCTTCTTATTTCTGACTGGTCACCCCAACCATCCTTCTCTTCATTATTCACGACAATTAACAATTATGAAAATTATAATTGTATGTAATAGATAAACTTTTCTCATTTCATTTTCAATATTTACGATTTATATCCCTAAAAATAACACTTTTTTACTGATATAAAGAGAAATAATAAAAACTCGGCATATAAACGGCATCAGACGTCGGAGTCCGCTCCTACGATTGCTGGCCATTTATGAGAACACAATCAACATATAGAGGCGCTGAATAGGGCATTTAGTTCACCTTTTTTTTTAATTTTTTATACTTAGATAGCGATATACATAGAAACTGATGTATGTCTCCGGCATAGTTCATGATGCCGTTATGAACTTCATAACTAGTGTCGGTCGCCGGGAACCGATATTGTCAGGAAAGACATTTAAGATATGTCTGCAGCTAACATGTTAAGCAGCTTTTTCATGGTTCCAAGCATGCATTAATAAAGAAATGCAGAATAATTGGAGTAAAAAAATATTAAAAAAGAAACTTGATTTTGAAAAATTTATTGTCCCGGGTGGTAATGAAAAAGGAAAAAAATATTATATATGTCGTACATTTTTTTAAAATTTAGAATCTCATAAAAAAATAAAATAAAATGGTTACAATCGATGGCCCACTGGCTGTAATTTATTCTTGTGAAATCCCAAGAATTGGCCTCGATGATAGAATATGGACTTGTGCGTAAAAAAAAGTGTGTAATTTTCCAAAAATTAGGAATCAATTTTTTGTTAAGCGGTATAATTCCTTTTATCCTTAAATAATTCCCTTATGTTAGTGACACAATTCTAAATTAACTAAACTAATAATTTTAATTGATTGATTTTGTACTCACCATTCTTCGGTCATCCTCAGTCTCCTTCGTTCGTGTTTCTGAGAAACAAAAAAAAAAAAAAAAAAAAATAACAATTTATGTTATACCATATAAACTGTGAAAAAAAATTACAATAATCAAAAGTTATGTGATTCTAAAAGTAACTGCTGACGTTCCAATGTCATGATTCAAACGAAATATTTTGATTTAGATCCCTTATAGATAGATAGATAGATAGAAAGTAAACTTTATTCTGGGACAAGGTCCCTTATGAATAACAGATATGAACAAAAAAATTAAAACTACATCTGGCCAAAAATTACATTAATCAATATTAAAGAATATATACAGTATCTTCAGTGAAATTAAATTAAAACAAGTAAAAATAAAATAAAATTTTGAGAAAAAACGAAATAAAAAAAAAACAACATTATTTAAATGAAGATAAAAATAAAATAAAATAAGCATGGGTTGATTTTTAAAATTAAGACAATAAATTTTATCAATCATTCACCTCAGTCAAAATCTATTTCACAATATTTATTTTATTGTATAACGTCATTTTGGGATGTGAGAAGGAATTGGTAAAGATGATATTTAAATGAGGACAAGGAAGAGGCATGACGGATTTCAGATGGCAAGGAATTCCAGAAGGCTGTGGATCGGGAAATAAAGGAATATTCAAACGTCTTAGTTCTATGGGAAGGGATATAAAGGTCGGAAACACGGGATCTTGTTTTCTGGGAGTGGACCACGGGTTTAAACTGTAGGAGACTGTAGATGTAAGAAGGGTGTCTAGTGTTGATTGTTTGGAATAGGAAAGATCCGAGGAAATATTGTCTGCGGAAAGAAGGGAAGAGCCACTTTAACTCGTCGTAAAGGTGGGACACATGAGATCGCTTTGATGTACCGAAGACAAATCTTAAGCACGTATTCATGAGTCGCTTCAATCTATCCTCGAGTACCATTGGGATGCCTCCGTACACCACACAGCCGTAGTCAAAGTGGGGGAAAATGAGAGAGGATACAAGGAGCTTGCGGATGGGTTGTGGGAGTAGGTGGCGGGAGCGATGAAATAGCTTAAGGGTACCTATTGACTTACGGGAGATGAGGGCAATATGGGGTTTCCAGGAGAGGTTTTCGTCTATGGTGATTCCTAGGTTTTTAACGGATGAACTGAATGTGACAGGATGATCGTTGATGACTAAAGGAGGAAGGAAGGAGATGGATTTAAGAATAGGACTGGAACCTATAATAATGGCCTGAGTTTTCATCGCATTTAGATTTAAATTATTCAGACTTGCCCAGGCACTGATCCTATCTAGGTCAGCCTGAATATTGGCGAACGCGACTAGTAGCTCAGAAGGATGAAAGGAAAAATATATTTGGGTGTCATCAGCGTATAAATGATGTGAACAGTGGTAGATGGATTTGGAAAGATCATTTATGTAGGAGTTGAAAAGGAGAGGGGAAATGCTCGAACCCTGGGCCACTCCAGAGGACAGTGTAAGAAAGGAAGATAGGGGTTGGTTTGGAATGCTGACTGCTTGAGTTCTGTCGGATAGGAAAGACTGTAACCAGAGGATAGAGCTGTTGGAGAAGGATAGGGATTTTAATTTAGTATAGAGTATAGAGTGGTCTAAGGAGTCAAAAGCTTTGGAAAAGTCGAGAAGTATTAATACAGTTAACATTTTTTCGTCCATTGCGGTATGTAAGTCATTGGTAATTTTTAGTAGGGCGGATTGTGTGGAGAAGCCAGGTCGGAAACCAGATTGGAGAGGATCGAGTAGTTTTGAGTTTTCAAGGAATTTAGAGATTTGGGATTGAGCTATTCTTTCCAGAGGTTTAGAAAGGTTAGAAAGAATGGAGATTGGGCGGTAGTCTTTAGGAGAGGTAGGATTGGGAATTTTGTTGATAGGTCTGACTAATGCTTTTTTCCAAGCAGTTGGAAAAACTGAGTTCTGGAGGGAAAAATTATAGATGAAAAGGAGAACTGGAACGACTTCGGGAAGGCATAATTTTAATAGTTTGACTGGTATCCCATCAAGTCCGATGGAGTTTGTGTGTGATTTCATTATAGAGGAAATAAGGTCGGTCGGTGAGATGTTGGAGAAATAGAAGTTATCACTGTTAAATGAGGGTGATAAGGAAAACTGGTGAGAGGTGGGTAAACTGTTGCTGGTGGTGGAAGATATAAAGTAGGAATTTAGTTCATCGGGTGATACCGGGTAGAACGGTGAGGAAGAGGATTTACAAAGAGAGAGTTTACGAAGGGTTAGCCATATTGATTTAGAATCAGGAGCAGAAGCGAGAGTTTCGTTAAAGAAGTTTGATTTCGCTTTCCTGATCGTTGTTTGTGTCAAGTTACGGAGTACCCTATAGACTTGATAGTCATCTGCTAGTCGAGTTCGTCTGAAGCGTCTACGGGCTGCCTCACGTCTCTTTTGCATGTCGCGGATTTCTTGACACATCCAAGGAGCAGGTTGGCGACGGAAGGTTGAGGTTTTGATAGGAGCATGTATGTCAAGAATATGGATAAGATTAGAAGTGAGGATGTCTACCATATGATCAATAGAGGTACAGGAATAAATATCGTTCCAGTTTAGGGTTTCAAGGTCCGGTAGGATTTTATCACGGGTGAGGTTGTCAAGATTGCGGAAAGTTATGGTTTTAGGAAGAAACGTGGGAGTTTGGATATCGTACGATAATTTGATGAGATCATGAGAAGAAAGGAAAGGAACGGGTAATTGAGAACAGGACAAGAGTTTCTGCTCTGAATCGATGATATGCAAGTCCAGCCAGGTGTCAGACCAACAAGTATGGTGTGTAGGAGCGAAAGGAACAATAAAAAGGTTGAGGGAGAAGAAGAGATTTTCCAAATAGCGTTTGTTGTTGGATTCTGTGAGGAGGTTGGTATTAAGATCACCGGAAATTATGATGTTATTATAGAAAGGGACATAATTGTACAAGGTTGATTCGAAGGATGAGTCAAAAGGAGTCAAAGGAGGGCGATATACGACCACATAAAGGAGAGGATGTGCTTTACAAGAAATTTCAGCGAAGAGGAATTCAATGTGAGGATGATTGGAAGGGGATGAAATATCTAGAATACGGGGTTTCAGGCTATTATGAACATAGAGACCAACACCTCCGCCAGTCCGGGAAACCCGGTCATGACGGATGAAGGTATAATCAGGCAAGGAAACCGAAGAGGAAGGGATATAGGGCTTAAGCCATGTTTCAGAGACTGCAATAATGTGGTAGAAGTTACAGGTGAAATATTGGAGAAATTCGTCATAGTGAGCAGGAAGGGATTGAGAATTAACATGGCAAGTAGTTAAGACGCTAGACATAACGGAAAGGAGAAAAGTATACATATGATGGATGACGCTGTAGGTAAGAAAAAACTGTGAAAATCAATTTGGAAAGAAGTAAATAATGGCTGTAAGAGAAGAAAAAAAATACAAACAAAATAGAGTTAGGTTCAAAAATATGAAAGAGGAAAAAACAAAAAATTACATTGGTTAAAATAGAGAAACAATAATAACAATAGTAGTAGATAGGCAACCCAGCACGATGCTGTATTATACAATAGAAGATTGGAAGTTTACGGATGCATTCTGTAGGTTGACGTAAATCAGAAGGTCAGCAGAAAACATCTAGATCATCTGGTTGGTCGATGTATATCACGGGATGGCCATCTCCTTTTCTGCAGCGCAATCTACCCGCCGAAAACCACACGTATTTTAGTTTACCAGCCGCTCTCTTCTGACGTGCGAGCCAATACAATCTTCTATTAGCAGGGGTCATTTCTTCACCCAGGTATATCCGGTGGGAGTCGTTTTCCTGCCAGCCGATGTCTCGAGTTGAGAAGTCCCTTTTGACCTTTCTTCTTTGGACCAGCTCGTCTCGTACTGCCTGCCTCACAAAGCGAGCTATAACTGGTGGTGGTCTAGGGTCGTCTTTTTTAGGTCTACGGCGCTCCACAAAATCGATGTCCTCGATGTTAATCTTAACACCGAGACCAGCTCCCACACTGGCAACTAGGGCCGAAGGAGTCTCTCCTGCACGTACCGGAATGCCTCGGATCTCAACCGATCTACAGAGTAGGCCCTGCTCGGCTCTGTTTAATCGTACCTCGAGTTCCCCCACTCTGGATTTCAGCGTTTTATTTTCCGTAGTCAATTCCTCCAGATGTTTAGCTTGGCTCTCTAGATGATTTTCTATTTTTGAAAACCTTTCATTTAACTCGAAGCTGAGTTCCCCGTATTTTTCCAATGACGACTTAATATTTTTAATGTCTTCATTGACTTGGGCGCTAAGTCGATTAACCGCTCCGAGAATATCAGCTGCGGACGGCTCCTTGATTTCACTTCTTGGTGGACTGGCTGATTTTTCCCTAATTTGGTATGTCTTTTTGCCTTGGTCACATTTTTTACAAAGCCATACTTTTTTTTGAGATTTTAATGTCTCGATCTCTTTATCACCCAGTTTGCAGCATTTACCGTGAAAGATAACCTGACATTTATTGCAGCTTATATTAGTTTTGTCATCTCTAGAGATGACACTATCACAAATAGAGCACTGAACCATTTTCGTGATAATATAATAATATTTACTCACGCTAGAAGAGTGTTTGTCAATAGATGCGTGTTGTTGGTCCTTAATACTCAAGAGCTTAGAAGGATTAATAGCCGCTTCTCAATCCACAGCTAGTGAAACACGACCTTTATCTTTAATAATTGACTAAAAAAATAAATAAATGAAGAACGTAAATAAACTCGCTTGACCGTGATGAAAAAAAAAAACACAACATATATATATAAAAATTAAGAAGAAATAACAGAGGGTACGAATGTTAGAGAGAAAAAACTATAGGAACGAAGTGAACTGCTTGCCGTCTCAGGCCAGACTGCCTCTCCGTTACGTCTACGTCTCCGTTTATACGAATAACATCATAAAATATATTATACTTGTGGGGTGACTAAACCATTTTAATTATCATCGACTATTAATGGTTAACTATTTGGCCAACTAATGGTCCAAATGAAATTTCAGT